CTAAACTTTCAACCACCCAAACCTAAAACCCTGAACCCTGCACCCTGCACCCCTGAACCCCTAAGCCCTAAACCATTTATCCCTTTAGAGATACCCTAGGGCTCTAGTCACGTGGATAACAGGTAACTGGGTTACAAAAAATCTGGTCGGTAACCTACTATTTAGGTACCTGGAGCCCTCGAGAAACTGTTCAACAACAGTCATACTCGGAACCCACGGATGCCACGCGCGCTGCCTTGCGCCTCTCGTCGGGGAGGTGCCGAAGGTCCCGCCTTGGCATACTTGGAGGACCATGGGAAATATAATAAGCAGGCCTTATAATAGGGTTTAAGGGTTTACGGGGCGGTGGGACACATAGCAAGTAGGGTAATACGTCCCTCGACTGACTCACGGAGGTTAGAAGATGTTAAAAGGGCTTACAAGTACAGGTACCTTACATATAGCCCTCGTCACTACGTCCATTGATCCTACGAGAAAACAGCTTCAGGCCACCACTACATCGGGTAGTTCTCTAAATTCAGGGTCGTTGGTGCAGTACCATTTTGGGGACCCAAAAAGGGATCCTAGTTTGGAGAAGTACCCACATCGAGTCAGGGTTTCGCCGCTCACACTAGGAACAGCCACAGGTTTGAAGGTTCCTGAAAAAGATTCTGATTTTTATGATTTCCTTGCAATAAGTCCCTAGAAAGGCAGGTTGTTCCGGGTCCAGGTGGATTTAGGGTTTTGTACTTGTTTTGTATGTCTCATCCCTGGACCCCCCCCCACACACACACACAGATATATATATATATGTGTGTGTGTGTATTTGTTTTATGTATTTAATATAATATTATAATATATTCTTTTTATTTTATTTTAGATTATATTATAGTATAGTATATTATAATATAGTATAGTATATTATAGTATATTATAGTATATTATAGTATATTATAGTATATTATAGTATATTATAGTATATTATAGTATATTATAGTATATTATAGTATAGTATAGTATATTATCATATATTGTATTATGTTATAATATATTTTTTTATATTTTATTATATTATATTACATTATATTATGTTTTGTTATATTATAATATATTATGTTATATTATGTTATATTATGTTGTATTATGGTATATTATATTATATTATATCATATTATATTATATGTATCGCATACTTCCTCCGCCCACAGCGCGAAAACCCTAAACCCTAAACCCCACACAAACACAAAAGAAAAAAACGCGAGCAGCCTCGGCTCTGCACCGCCCCAAGCACCAAAAACAACTCCTACAACTCCTCAAAGACTCCAAAAGCCCCGTAACTAAGGAATATGCCTTAAGCCAAACAAGGTCCGTCCCGGCAGCTCGGTCTTCTTTTCTTTCCCTCCAACATAGCAAGGACGAGCCCGCATGGGTCTTCTTTTAGGGTGTAGGGTTGAGGGTTTTAGTGTTAAGTTACGGAGAACCTTATTGCGGAATCCTCATAAAAACCCTATAAAACCCTCACCAAGCCCTTAACCCTCACATCCTTTGTTATGTACGCCCTATAATCTTAGCAGCACCAAAAAAAAGCTCGCCCGCTTTCAAGATTCCGGCGCTGCAGCTCGAGGCCAGAAGCCCAAGTGCCATGAGCCTACAGCTGGTAGGGCTTAGGGTTTAGGGCTTTGGGCTTAGGGTTTAGGGTTTGGAGTTGAGGACTTGTGCTTTAGGTTGCAGCTGCGAAGCTGGGGTTTTGGGATCTACCTGAACCCTGGAGAACCATTTATTTTGCATACACTAACAGGTACGTATGCATATAGATATATACGTAATTTTATATATGTATGTATGTGTGTATAACGTGTATAGGTATATGTTTGGCATGTACTTGAAACGCACGCTTTGGGGCCACAAGTAGCACTACTATTGACGCAGATTCTGAGATTCGGGCTTTACACGTTCAAGAACACAGACACTTCTGAACAACCTTGTAAGCCCTTAGAAGGAGCCAGGTTTCCAGACTTAGCGATTTAGGGTGTTTTGAGGGAGTGGGGGTTGAGTGATTGATGGTTCGGGCTTCGGGGTAAAGGGTTTCCAAGGCTTAGATGTTTTAGGGGTTCAAGGGCGTCACGAAGCGAATTCAACTTGGCATGGCCAGAATGTCGGGTTTTCTCGATGTCTATAGTGCAGCCTCCCACAGGGATCTAATGACGGCCTCTTTCCGGTTCTACATTTTGCTATTATAAGTGTTCTAAAACGACGTTAAGGTGTGGCAGTGTTTTGCGTCATATTCCAGGACGTTCTTTGTGCTTCTTGGAGCCCAGGGTTTGTTAATGCACAAAGCACTAAGTTATTTGTCCAGTATCCTAGGCGAACTAGGCTAAAGCATGACCTTTGGGATTCTATAGTGAGTATAGTAACGTAACAAAGCCTAAACCCAACATCCCAAACCCTAAATAGTATAGTACCCCCAAACAGGGTTACCTACTCGACTACTAAGGAAAAGCCCTGAAGCCCAGACTGGAACATGCAGGATCCCTCTCGTCCGAAGATTGGGCCAGCCCTTAGGGTTTAGGGTTTGGGGTTTAGGGTGTATTGATCAGTATAGGGTTTACAGGATTGTAGGGTTTGGGCTATGCCCTCATATGTTGACCCTCTCCAGCACTGGGAACCCTTTCCAGCAAGCAGTGAGCATGCACGAGCCACGGGCCGTATAAAGTCCAGCCCCCCAGGCGCCTTAAACACCATCTGTGGGTTATCGAGTCAACATGGACACCGGGGTCCCAAGCCACAGGACTGATAAAAGCCTGGACGTTTAACGATCCATAAACCCTAAACCCCTAAAAACAAAACCCTAAACCCCAAAAATCCTAACCAGCAGAAACACAAGCACTAAGCCCTAAGGCCTATGCCTCCAAAAAACCAACCCATCCCAAACCCTAACCCACTAAAACCTAAACCCCAAAGACCTTAAGACCTAAACCCATAAAGCACTAAAACCTAAGCCCAAACCCATAAAGCACTGAAACCTAAACCTAAACCCACAAGGCACGAAAACCAAAACCCCCAAGAACCGAAGGCTAGGCTTCCCGGCCCCTTGTCTAGATCGGAGGGCTCTGGCACCTGCGAGGGTGCACGGCAGTCAGCCTTCTGGGCTCACATGACCCAGAGACTCCAATATCCCTTAATCAAGGAGTCTAGCTAAAAAGTATACGAGGATCCCTACTATGATTCAAGGCATATTCCTTAATTAAATGATATTGGAGTCTCTGGGTACCCATGGCCCCCCAAAAACCCTACCTCTTAAAACCTACCCTCTCTAGGGCTCCTTCTTTCTGGCTTCTTTTATAGAGTTCCCGGAACAGAAGGGCAATTTTTTGGGGGGCTGCAGGGAGGGGTTTAGGGCCATTTTAAAGGGTTTGCATAGGGGTCTAGGACCGTTTTGAATGGGGCTGGGCTTTCCTGGCTGACTGAGCGGGCTGCTCTTCGGGTTGGAGTGTGGGACCGGTAGTTTTGCGACACCGTTTTCCGGTGTTGGTTCGTTTTGAAAAGGGTTTAGGGTTTAGGGTTTTCCTCCCCGAACCGATGAACTCAAAGTGCAGCTTTTAAAAGCGGCACAAGGGGCTGACCTTCTATGTGGTGCCTCCCTTAGATCACTAAATTAGAATAGGTTATGACTTCTGATCGTGCTTTAGGCTATGATTTTTTAGACATGGTGGTCCGGGAACATTTGTAGTGATTCTTGAACTTTTGCTCGTACTGCTGATGGTACTCTAATTCATAGTTCTCGTGACTGTTTTTGGAGTGTGGTGGTCACATTGCACGTGCTTCTACTTCGGCTCGATTGGACTGATGACCATTTGTGGGGTAAAGCTTTAAGGCCTGAACCAAACTCCGCTATTCCGGCCGTTCGTTTGGGAAACCATCTAAGACGCATGAACTCTTACGATCTCCCGGCATACCGCCCCCATAAGCCTCCGGACTGTTATGGTGTTTAAGGCTTACAAAACTGGACCACGGCAGGAAGCTAGGACTGCGCGCAACGATCCTTTTTGTCCGCACAAGGTGTCCTTCTCAAGTCAGCGAGAATCATCAGTAGCCTTGGATGATAGCTGCCCGGAAAGGATAGGGCCAACAGGAGATACAGCAGGCGTGGAGGGTGCCTCTAGATGAAATCCCTTGACCCTAATCCCTCAACCCTAAACATTGCAGCAAAGATTGACTGAGCGGCTTCCTGAAACGGAGGATGATGGAAACTCTTCCACTGCTGGTGCGATAGACCCTAAACCCTGGAAGCCCGTCGTCCAAGCGCATTGAAACCAAGAAGAGTGCTAACCGATCACCACAAGCATAGACACGGCTACTGCAGGGGATTCTGGCCACTAGTCAGGCTAAAAAGTCGTCCTCGAAACGAAGCACTTTTCACGAGAGTTCAGAGCAACATCGTAGGCTATCGCATACAACCTGTGGCCCTTTATGAAATCCTCGGAAAACATTCGGATTATTGGACTCCTAGGAAGATGCACAAGAGCTCGGGCATCACATCCTTCGCGAAGCCCTTGAAACCACATTCACCTCTAGTATTAAACATAAAATACGTGCCCTAAAACTTTAAACCCGAGAAGCCCCTGGGCCCCAGCTTCTTCAGCCTGAAACCCTGGGCAGCTTCGAAGCTTGCACAGAAATCAACAGACGCAACAGGTAAATCGGGAATCTAACGAGTCTCCATACACTTTGTCCCCGGTAGGTATGAGATCCCCCAAAGAACACTCTGCGAATCCTTCCTGCATCCTTTGTTGTTTCTCTTTTCCGCGTGGCCCTGGTTGTCGTAGCCGCCCTCGCCATAGCCCTGGTCCTTGTTCTGGTCTGGTCGGTTAGGGTTTGGGGTTTACCTGGGCCCTAAGGAACCTTGGGGTTCTTTATTATGAGGCTGCTCGGGGCGAGGGTGGGGCTTTAGGGTTTGGGGGGCTTTAAAACTGGTAAACAGCGTAACAAGCATGATTAATCAGCTGTGCAAACGCGTGGTCCTCTGCTGGCATCATGGGAGGTGCCTCCTCCTGCGACAGGACTGCGGCGGACAAGTTGAGACATGCTGAAAACAAAGCGCCTGCAAGAGTAATGGTGAGCAGTAGCAGTGTTCGTTGTGATCCTCTACTTCCTAATTGCCGGGGTTTGCACGACTGAACCAAATTCCTGGAATCGAGCACGGCCGTGTCCTAAACCGTAAATCGTAGGACGGTCGAACAAACGAGGTTTCCTCTTGTCCCCTGCCTGCGTCCAGCTTTAAATGCATGGAGTGTATCGGTCGTCTTGCCCGACACTCACAATGAAAATAGTTAGAAGCAATACTATCCCTTTACAGTACAAGCGCCCCCCCCCCCCTCATATCCCTTATAATTACTTATACAATCATCAACTTCAAGACCCTCTTCTGACTCTAGTTGCTGATGCCCCCCCCCCACCCATAATATTGCAATAAAGCTGTACGGCCTTCGGCTCATGCACGATGACGTTGTCGGGCAGTTGCATCTTGGGGCCCATCTTGCCCTCGGGGTCGTGGGACATCATGATCTTCACCTGCGCGGTTATTGGGGCTCAGATATTTTTTTGGTGGGTTTAGGGTTTGGGAGCTGGGATTTAGGGAGGGTTTAGAGTTTAGCGTTTGGGTGCCAACTGTGTGAACAGCCGCAGTTCTGCTTACTCACGTGCCTGGGAAAACAGTGCGTGCGAGTGCCAGACAATGTCAAAACAGCCTACATTGTACTCACCCTGTGCACTCTACAAGTACAAGCCACCTGGGTTGTGGGTTAACTCATATGACACCCCATGAGACTGCCACCGTGCCCCTCCATGGTGTAAGCCTGCTTGGAGATTCATGGGTAGTTATATAAGTGGGGTCAAAAGTAAGTAGCTATACTAAACACCCATGTTAAGGGACTTACAACCCCACTCATCTTTACCCATGAACCTCCAAGTAGGCCCTAATCCCAAGGGCCACTGTCTTCCCAAGCTGTGCCATCCTAATGTTCGAGCGGCGGTCCGCTCCGGAAAGCCTGCACGCAAGGCTGGCATACAAACCCCTACCTTGAACTACCACGACCCCCTTTTCTGAAGGGTCCTATAATTTCAATACATGGTAAGGGTATATATTAAGAACAATAGGCTTTGGTAATTTAAGGTAGAGTAAAGCCATGAATGGAACAGGTTCCCGCATCTGAATTTGCAGTGCCATGGCGTGGAGTCTGCTATGGCCATCGAAATTATAATCACTTCAGCCCAAAGCCATAAACTCCTAAAAACTGCTGTCCACATCCACAAGAGCCATAATCTATGAGTCCTGAAAACTCTCTCTCTCTCTCTCTCTCTTTCTGTCTTTCTGTCTTTCTCTCTCTCTTGCTTGCTCGGGGTGTGAGGGCCAAAGCCCCCTGGCCCGAAGGCCTACCCCCCTACGGCGCGCTCCAGTTCGTCTGATTGGCCCAATCGGGGTTGGGAGCAGGGCTGTTCCCCTGTATGTGCCTCGAAACCCCCGATTTGCAAGAACACCCCTCTCTCTCTCTCTCTCTTTCTGTCTTTCTGTCTTTCTATCTTTCTCTCTGTCTCTCTCTCTCTCCCTCTCTCTCCCTTACACCTCCACAAGAACCAGGGGCCTTGATACCGATCGTGCCCTGTCGCATCTGCACGTGACGCACTGCCTCAGAGATGTAGTGCCTGGCATGGAACTTCTCGACCATCTGTGGGTCGGTTTTTTATGGGCTCCATTAAGGGTTCCTTTATGGCTTTTAATAAGGATCCTCTAAGGGATATAGTGGTCACTCTAAGGGTTACTGGTTGTCTCAATGGGGGATTGTTGCTGAGCCTTCGATACACCTTCAAGCCTAAACATCCTACTTCGCGGTAGCACAACATATGCTTAAGCTCGGCTGATGCTCTACATGCCACTGAGACATGTAACCCCGGCTATGACCTCCTAATTAAAGGGCTCACTACGAGAAAGTTCCCTCACTTCACTTGCAAGATAAGCAAGTGAAACCGGCGACCTCAAAGCCAAGAAGCTTTGGACACGCTAGACTAGACTGACTAGACTACACTGTATTTGACTACTATGCTATATCATGTTTACTATACGAAAATACCGAAAAGTCATTATACCACATTTACTTGTGGCCGGCCCTTATTCATCTCTCCCAGGAAGGGTCCCAAGAGCTCATCTTCTCAACGTCTTTAACCCGTACAGACCCCACTGCCCACCCCAAGAGGCCACGCTGCAGGTCATACTAGCTATGGCAGTAGAGTAGAGAGTGGTCGTCGTGCTGATTGTAAATGTCGTCGTGTGGCTGGTGGTGCTAGCTTTGGGCGCAACCACTAAATTACTGATGCTACTCCTACGACGCCACTTCTTGCACTGCTGTTGCAACTCTTGCTAGGAGCACCTCTTGGGCTCGCCGGTGGAGATGAGATAGCCCTGCCTGTGCTGAGCGTTAGCGGCAAAAAAGGTACTCTGCTTATGACTTCGGATTCCAGGTTTTGCATTGTTTGGGGGTTTCGGGGCGGACCTTAAGTTGCAACAACATAGTGATAGGGCATGCCATAGGGCGCAGCATGTACAGAATGAAGGGAAAGGCAAAGCCCAAAATTCAGAAGCTTGAATAACTCCCAATGCCCCAAAACCATCCAAAACCCTTATTCCGTTTGATAAGGCTCCTAAGTTGTCAAGCAACTGAGCAAGAGCTGGGCCTGAATTTCATGGCCTTCGCACGCTGTGCCCGGAGCTTGCCGCTGATGATGACCTCCACGCCCTTGGCACCGTTCTCCATGATGAACCTAGGGTTTATAGGGTTTAAGGTCCTAGTCCATGGTTGGGATAGTACTACAAATCTATCTTTCGATTCCTTCTTGGGTTTAGGTACCAACGAAATCTAAAATGTGAAATGTTACACAGCCATGATGTTGAGACTCAGGCTTCCGGTGGATTTTGAGGCTGGGGTGTTGGTACACTTCTCGATTCGGTGTATTAGGGTTATAGGGGTATGGGGATGATAGAATTTAAGATTCAAGACTTTGGGAATTTTGTGGTTTAGGCTTTTATGGCTATATATGGGGAGTTACGGTGAGGAATCTTCAATTTGGCTTTCGGTTTGCCCCGGCCTGAGGACCCCATAGCACGCGCGGCGCACGGCCAGGCCGCCGATCAGCTTGAAGCCTGGTTGAGGCCGAAAGCACAGCATAGAGTCGGTTTAGGGTTTATAGGGCTTAGGGGGCAAAGATCCTAGAGTGCTGAAGGTCTGAAGCGTAACCCCGCCAACTTCACGCTAGACCCGAGCACCTTGACTCCCCCCAACCCCTAAACTCAAGAAGCCTAGATCCTACACACCTAAAGCCCTACCCATAGGCTCCAAAGTAGTTCCTTTTTGGGATTACCTTATAGGATCCTAAATATGAACCCCAACAAGGAACTACTATGGAGCCTATGGGTAAACCCATAAAGCTTTAAGCCCCACTCCAGCGGGCCAGAAAATCAAACGAGCCCAACTCCCCCGGGGGCTCGTGAGGCTCTGAGCCCAGGACGGAGAGACTCGCACTGGGCCATGGCACAGCTTGCGCGATTCCTTTGCCCATGGTTGCTGACAGACTTGAGGAATTCAGGGTTTAGGGTTTGGGGGCTTTTTTCGGGTGTTGGGGTTTAGGGCTTTATGGTTTAAGGCCTTTATAGCCCTAAGGGTCCAAGTAATCACTATTTAAGGACTTTGGGGCCCAAAAACCATAAATAAGGACTACTTGGACCCTTAGGGTAGGGTTCCAGTCAAAAACTACGGCTGATCGGGCTTAGGGCTTTCAGGGTTCTCATTTTTGCTCTTGGGCAGTATAGGGCTTCTATGGGTAGCACAAGTTCCGTCCTCCGAAGCCCACTTCAACCCAGAGAGCCCAATACCCCTGAATTAAGGAATATAGCTTAAAACATAAACCATGATGTTCAGGCCCCTGTCAGTTGAGATATATTCCCTTAAGTCAGGAATATAGCTTAAACCTTAAACCATAATATTAAGGCCCCTAAAAGATAAGATATATTTATTAATTACGGGGTAGTGGGCTCTCTGGGAAGGTGCTTCGAAGCGACTCGACGCGCTCGGCGAAGAGCTCCACGCTGTTCTCCGGGAAACCGAAACGCTTCTGCACCTGGTGGATTGTCGAATCATCAGCACACCACCCCTTGAACCCTAAAGCGTACCATAAAGGTAGCAAGTCACGTAGCCATATTCAAAGGCTGAACCCAAATACTACATCCGCAAGCCCGAAACTGTGCAACAAATATAGCACAGGCCTCAAGTGCCAAGACTCCGAAACACCCGATCCCTCAGCCCTCCCCATAGGCTCCATCATAGTTCCTTTTTGGGGTTCATATTTGGGATCCTATAAGGTAATCCCAAAAAGGAACTACTTAGGGGCCTATGAGTAGACACCAGAAGAATCAGAAGTGCCACCCAGGGCGCCAGGGCCGTCAGCTCTCGAATGCGTCGGCCCTTCTCGCCCAGGACTTCGCGAGTCCTCGGCGGAAGTAAAAACTCTACCCCTAGGCCCCTAAGTAGGGCCTTATTGGAGTTTAGGGTTTAGGGTTCTATAAGGTAATAGTTCCTTTCTGGGTCCATATATAGGATCCTATAACATAATCCCAAAAAGGAACTACTTAGGGGCCTATGGGTATATTGACAACCGTATCAAAAGCAATAGCGCCAGCGGCAGTAGCAGTAGCAGCAGCGGCAGCAGCAGCAGTAGCAATAGCCGCAGCAGAAGCAGAAGGGGATGCAGTGAAGTAGGAAAGCAGCAGAGCAGGATCAGTCGCAGTCGAAGCACCTTTAGGGGCTGCAGTTATTCGAGCTCTGAGTTTCTCAGCCCAAGGTGTGCTCGGGATGGGTTTGAATATTTAGGGTTTTTCGACTCACACACTCGCACAAGGCAGGCATGGCTTCTTCTTGGGGTCTTTTAGGATTCCCTCGCTTCAGGATCGTACGGCATTGCTTCGTGCTCAGGCCCTGAACCAAAACATGGCCTAATCCCTACTGTTACTATCGCCCCCTTGAGCCACCTTCCATTACGGATCCTCTAAACATAGACTAAAGAGAGATGCGACGGATCCATCATGCTTGGCGGCAGACCTGGTGGCTCGGATGATGATCTCCGTTCGGATCGGGGTCACGCGCACCTGCGCTTGCGAGCAAAGCAACAGCCGCAGTAGGAACTTGTGTTGCGAAACTTCGGCTGGATTGAATGAAGATGTGTTTAGAACAAGCACACAGCGGGAATGAAGAAATCTAGGCTCTGTAGGCTCAATGCAAAGCCGAACAAGCTTCCAACAAAACCTAGATCAAACAACTCTACACTGGCGCCCCGTTTTGTATCCAAACATGATCGAACTGCCGGTGCAGCAGAGACTACACTGGACACCCCTAAAACCTTTACGAGCCCCCATGGCCTTCTGGAACGCTGCAATCCGAATCGCCATGATTACCGAACCAAAAACCCAAACACTAAGTCCCCCAGTGTACCCCCTACACCCCTGGAAGCCTTAAGTACCAAAAAAGAGACACCCCCAAAAACTGTTAAACTACCCACTGCAACCCCCAAACCCCTAAGTATACCCCATGAAGTACCCTCAAAACTTCCTAGACCCAACCCCTACACCCTAAACCCAAGAACCCTAAGCCCTAAACACCTACCAAAAAACACCTGCGGCTGAAGGCCCTCCTTGCCTCGACGCCGGCATATCCATCCTGCTTCCAACGCTCGGTAAGGGATCTTGACGAAGGATCCATTTGGGGATCTGTAAGGGGGGATCTATCTATATAGGGGCGATCTTTATAGGGGGTCTAGACGGGTTCTATATTGCCTGGCTATGCACAAAAGAAGCCGTGAGTGTATTCTCGGGTGTACAAGGCCTAGGTTTTTCGACTCACACACTCGCTCACGCAGGCATGGCAGGTTCCGTCCCAGCTTGCTACTTGAACTTGACAGGCAGTGGCACATGAGCCTCTCTCAATAAGAAAAGAATATGCAGTACAGAGCCCATGAGCCACAACCCAGCATGTTCACTCTAGGCCTAGGATTTTAGAGTTTCAAGCTTCAGGAGGTTAGGCTCCCAGAGAGTGCAATACCCCTTCTTAATTAAGGAATATACCTTAAATCATAGGGGCCTTACTACTATGGTTTAAGGAATATTCCTTAATTAAGGGATATTGGGTTCTCCCGGGTTTTGGGGGGGTTTGGGCTGTAGGCGTTTGGGGCATACAGGGTTTGGGGCTTAACGGAGGGGCTTCCTTCTTTCAGGCCTCTACTTGAAATTCAGGCCATGGAAAAAAGCGACTACTTGGAGGTTCATGAGAGTAGTTGTAAGTGGGGTTAGAAGTACGGAAAATATCATATAACATCATTAATGTAACATATAACCCATATTGGGGGGCCTTCTAGCCCCACTCTTGACTACCCATGAACCTCGAAGTATTCCTTAGTTGGACAGAGCCCGCAGGCGAAGAAATGGGTCGAGGGTCCTGTGGTCCAGCGGCTCTAGGGGGGCTTTATGCTTGGAGTGTCGGGTGTCGATGAGGGTTTGGGTTTGGGGTTTAGGGATTTGGGGTTTAAGGGTTTGGGGGTTAAGGGTTTTCCCACCCGCCCAGCTGACCAAGCAGCGCTGGAGGGGGTTTTGAGGATTAGGCAAGCCTGGCGAGGGTTCTGGCTTAGGGTTTAAGGGTTGGGGATTGTCCCGCGCCTACTCAGCAAGGACGAAGCCCGCATTGCGGGGCAAGTCCAAGAACAGTTTGGGATTGGGGTGTAGGGGTTGACAAGCTGGGGATCACGGATCCAATTCTGAGCACAAGGGTCCCCCTTTTTTCAGGTGTAGGGTCTAGGCGTGATTCTTACAACGGCCTGTCTGTTCGCTTGAAGCTTGAAATATAAAGTGGGCGCCCTAATTTTCTGAAAGCACCATAGCAAGGCATTAAGGAAAAGCCCCTTCGACTCCGGGGCCTCACCCAGTGTGCGGGCCAGAAATTCGTTGAGCTCTGCATTGAAGACACCGTCAGCCACAAACTTCCTCTTCTTTGACACCTCCACTGGATCTTCCCTAAACTCTAAACCCCGAAACCCTAAACCCCTAAACCCCAAACCTTACTTCATGGGGTTTCGGGTTTATGGGGTTTCGGGCCTTTGGCCCGGTGTAGGAGGAGCCAACAAGCCAGAGGCTAGCAAATCGTTATAGAGACCCCTACCTCAAGTACCGCAATATGCGAACCCCACAGTGCTATTATCCTAAGCCCAAGAACCTGATTGCTCGGTACTTTGGACCCCTACTGAGTAACGTCCCCAAACCCCAAACCCGCCGAGACCCACGCCTCTGAAATTAATCCAAGATCCTACGAAGATCCTATGAAGCCCTGTAACACCCTTATATCATAAACTGCTGTGATTCCCCTTGCAGGTAATTGTAAGAAAGTCCTATAATGGCGGCGCCCGGTTGTGGGGACTGAAAGCGTTGTAAAGATCCCATGGAATTCTTCTTGAAAAGAACCGGAAGGTTTCGTCTCTCACAAAAATCAATGGGCAAGGCTTCGTGACCACCGGGCCCACACGACTGCATCACACATATACAGGCTCAAGTGCCCAAGCCCAAAACTGAGCCAAAAACCCCTCTTGCCATGTTTGGGGTTTCAGGACTTAAAGGTATAGCACTTACAGATACATTCCCTGGGCACATGCTCCGAAAGCATCTTATCTTCATACCTGGTCCAGGACTGCCTGCTGAAAGACATAAACACGGCCGAAAGTTACGTAACTACACATGACCCCGGTCTTACACGAGCCTGATGTTTCAACGTGGGGTCCATATCACGGCCCCTTAACTTGTGAAACTCGCCATGAGGAGAGCAAGTTTCTAGCTGCATTTCAAGAAAGCGACGTTAACCGACCCCTTTTTTGCAGCGGGCTTGCCTCGTCGCCCAGCAGCTCCCTCTGCCCAGAACACGTTAACCGAACCCCTTTTGCTTCTGGACTCAAGTCTAGCAGACTACGACCTGCGATCATTGCTAACCGACCCTTAAACCCTGAACCTTAAACCTTAAGCCCAAAACTGCCCAAAACCCTCCACCTTAAACCCTAAACCGTCCAGACCAGTTAGACGTCAACAAGATACGTTCGACGTCGCATCATCTGGAGATCGGGTTTAGGGTTTCAAGACCCCGACCCTGCAGGATCTAAACCGCTAATTCCTCTTCCCTAAACCGAAGATGCCAAATCCTGCTCCTTAGCCTCCACACTACCTACAGTCTCCATTACAGTTTCTTTTTGTGGAGTTAGCTTGCGGGATCCTTAATACAAACTTGAATAAACTAAACCAGAAACTACAACGGAGACTACAGACCCTAAACCCTAAACCCTAAAACTATGGGTACTTTCATGAGCTAAAGCATGCCTGGGCCGAGCTCATGGGTTCCGAGGTCTGCGGCAGGAAGGCCCAAAATCTGCGGACTTGAGATATACTCCCTGCGGGTCGGACAAGATATGTTTGGGTTGAGAGTGAGACTTTTATGTCTCAGGGTCTTGGCGCTCACACTCGGACATGACAGAGGGTTGAGGGCTGCAGGCTCTCTTGTTTCTTAAGGGCTCGTTTCCGACTGCGTGGTTGAGAATTTTGGGGGGCTTGCGGTTTGAGGGCTTTCCCGCGTGGTATGTTGCGACTGAAAACACACTCGCACACCAGTCGACGTGCCGTGTGAGCTGTGTTGGAAGACCAGATTCACACATGGCCACAGGTGCCTGACGCACACAAAGCTTTGGGTTCAGGGTTATAAAGGCGGAGCTTGGAAAGTGCCTGAAACCATAATGGGAAATAAATAATGAAACTTCCCAAATGTGCCACCTAGACGTGAACCCCTAAACAATAAACGGTCGATCAATCATAATTGCCCTTCCAATCTAGCTCAATCGACCCCTCAGGGAAGATGAGCTGCGTTATTTTTGCACCCCCGCCGCCTTAGGGTATTTAACTGCCAATTGCAACCACGATCGTATCTCCTTTTTCGTCCGCAGTGGTTTCGAGTCGCCGCACTCCTAGCCGAAGTCGATCAGTAGCCTGAGCCAACAGGAGGGAAGCGCTGCATGGTGCCAAGAGCCCATTTGTTATGGTACATAGAAGTATATTGTAGTATGAAGACATTTGAGTCATAGTATATACAGTACTGACCTATATATAAGATATGCCATATACTGTCATAGTACTACCATTCTTGCTCTTCCAGAAACTGAACCAAATCATCATGCAGGCTGCAGCTGACAGGCGAACCGACTCCTCCACGTTTGCTGAGCCGAGAAAAAACTACAACCCTACCGCACCAACCTGCAGCTAAAGCTGCGTACACCGAGACCTGGAGACCTCTTGCACATGGGCTTTGTGCAGGTGCCTGGGCCTCAACCTACGCACATACCCCGTGAGGCGAAACCGGCCTAAGGCCTAAACCCAGAGCTACCAGACCTCAACATCGTAATCTTCGTACCAGGGCGCGGATGACAAACACCAAACACAAAGGTACCGAGTACTGCAGGCAATGCGCAACCTCGACCTTTGTACCACCCTTTCCCCCAAAAAAATGAAGTGTCCAAAACCATCAAACCAAGAATGTAAACCTGATTCTAAAAGACCGAACAGCTATATACAGGTGTTACATCAGTTCAACCGCGTCGCCCTGGTTGTCGTCGTAGCCCTGATTGCCGTAGCCCTGGTCCTGCAGCATGCAGGGTGTATTGTAAATAGAAACAATACCAGCGAGCAATAATGAAACCCAGGGCACCAGCACCCTGACTATCACAGCTACATGCATTTTCATTAGCACCATAATCGGTCTTATTACTTGCACCACCGCCACCACCATCGCAAGATCAACAGCTTCACCGTCCCTGCCATCAGCGGCATCAGCACCACCAGCACAATGACCAAAGGTCATGACATCGCAACAACAAAATTAGCAGCAGCACAAAGTGGTGCTACTCCCCTTGCTGTGGCTGCTGCTACTACTGCGATTTCAGTGACTACGGCGACTACGACTACGACTCCGGCTGCGGTTCTGACGGCGAGTCCGTCTGCTGCCGCCACGACGACGACGACCACTACTGTTGCAACTACTGCTGCTGCTGCTGCTCCTGCCGCTGCTGCCGCTGCTACTGCTACTACTGCTCCGACCACCACGACGACGACGACGACGACTACTACTACTACTGCTGCTACTACTACTGCTGCTACGAGAGCTGCTGCTGCTACTACTGCTTCTATGTCTACCGCAACTACTAAATACTAATTGCTACTGTTTCAGGTGGCATCTGCAAGTCGATTGGATCTGGAGACGCCTGCATTTCCGAACCCCTTCGCCTTTCTCGGTTTGCCTCTTCATAATCGTTTCGACTCGCACGCTCGCGCCAAGCACTCACAGGCGTTTAGGGTTTTGGAATCCTCATACGACCTCAAACAACTCGTCGAAGCCAACTCCAAACTCGGAACGCGACGGATGTCACGGCCTCTGCCGGAGGCATCATCGGTGGAGCCTCGTCCTGCTTCGAATGCGTGATTGGTGGTGTAGGCCATGGGACTTGCGTTAGATTCATCTAGGGGAGCATTTTGTTCACGACACAAACGTTATTAAGTTATTAAGACGTACTTACAAGGGTATACATACATACAGACATTTTTAGCACTCGCACTTGTTGGAGCAGGCGAGGTTTGGGGGCAACTTGTGGCATGTCAAGCTCTGGGTTCTACATACATACATACATACATGCATGCATGCATACATACATACATACATTCATATGTATATGCAGACACATGCAGGTTTGGTTTTACCCATTTCTTTGAGTGACGTTGCATTTGCCTGACTCACTGGTCGGAAACGCAAACACCTACTCTGGGAAAACCCAATGACCAATCGACTTAATAATCGTCATAATAGAAGTAACAGTAGCAGTAGTCATGAAAAGCAAGAACAACGACACTATGGTCAACAATATTAACTAAAAGAAGCAGAACCCTATACCCCAAACCCCAAGCCCTAAACCGAAACAAATCAAAGAAAGGCATCCGTTGATCGACCTTGGGCTCATGCACGATGACGTTGTCGGGCAGCTGCATCTTAGGTCCCATCTTGCCCTCTGGGTCGTGGGACATCATGATCTTCACCTAAACGGCTTTGGGGTTCAGATTATTTTTTGGTGGATTTGGGGTTTGGGAGCTGGGGTTTAGGGAGGGTTTACATGATCTTCACCTCTGCGAAAGCTTCTGAGGCTTCTATAACGTTATTATTATAATTGGGTCCTTTTTTTTTTGGAGACTTTGAAGCTTTAGGGCTTCATGATCTTGTTTCAGGGCTTAGCGTCTCGAGGTTTGGGGCATCAGGGTGTGGAATTTTAGAGCTTTTAAAGCTTTAGGGCCTTTAGGGTTTATGTTCCTCGCTTGTGGCAGTACAGCTTAAGCTTCAAGATTGGCGTTTGAGGGTGTGCGGCTTGGGTTTGAGGGCGACTTAAGGGTTCGGCACTCACACTCGGTCTCCCCAGGCAGGGGCATCTGTCCATAGATCTGTCGGCGTGTTAGGCTTTAGGGTGTTTTTTGCCTGCTACTTAGCACGGGATTGCACACGTGGCAGGGTTGTTCGAGTTGGTTTGGCATTCGTCATGTATTCGACAAGGCAGACAGACAAGGAGACCAGTGCATCACGCATCCCAAGACCGGCAGTTGTTGTAGAGTCAATATGCCAGTGCGGTTGTCACGCCTGGGAAAAACGAAAGTGATTTGCGCCATAAAGTAAATTATTGTGAACATGGCAGCTGAGCAAAATGCTCACGGCTCACGTCTCAAGGCTTGGCAGTGTTTTCAAGGCTTCAACTGCGAATTTAGCTGTTAGGCTTTGGTTTTGGGATTCAGGGTTGGGTTGCCGAGCTCGCCCGCTGTTGGGAGCCTGCCAATATGGAGTGTTTAGCATAACACGGGGTTCTTTGGGGTGAAGAGATTTAGAAATAAAAGTTTATGAATATTGCGAAATCTTACTGTGCTACCTCGTTTCCAGGCTGAGTTGACGAGCACAATGCACAAGACAGCGAACATGTAGTTTAAGCAACCAATATGGAATCGTACATGCACAGGACGTGACCACTGCCATTGCTGGTTGCCCATGCCGGCCTTGATTCCAATAGTGCCCTGACGCATCTGCACGTGACGGACAGCCTCCGAGATGTAGTGCCTGGTTTTGAGACTGTGCGACTATGATTTGGTGGAACTGGCATGATCTCACGTTTCCGTGAGACAAGAAAGCCTAGCAACACATGACAGCACTAGCACAATATCGTTGGCCGCTACAATTCAGCAACTAGCAATGAAGTGGGTATCCCACTCATACGATGCAAGACTAACCTTCAACATGATTTGCTTCAATGGGATCCTTCAGATGTTCCTAAACATGTACTTGGAAAAGAAAACGCTCAGCACATGCCCTCAGGATGGTGCTCAAGCAAAACCCTTGCGAGAATTGCGTATGCCAGGACGACACTTGAACTCAAAGACCCCTGTGGTAAGAGGGCCAGGAACCCAAAATCATCTGCGTTTGCCATTGGGATAATGATGTACTCGCGTACTTGGAGGTTCATGGGTAGTTATAAGTGGAGTTATAAGTAGGGTAACTGTAGTTATAACCCAAATTAGGGGACTTATAACCCCACTTATAACACTACCCATGAACCTCCAAGTGGGCTTCGAATTTCAGACCCTGTTCTGATGACCTGGGAGCCATGACTTCTGTGCCCATCTCAAACCAAGTCCCCTCTCTTGCCATCTCACCGTCTCTCTTCTCTCCTCGCTCTCTCTACCCCTGCCCCTGTTGTGCCGTGGCGTCCGAACCCTAAACCCTAATTACTCTGAAACCTGAAAACCAACGCCTACGCAGCGTTCACCTGTCGGTGCGGCCTCTTCGGCTCACCCGTGGAGATCAAGTAGCCCTGCCTGCGAAGACGAAGGCTTTCAAGAGAGTCGTGTTTGAGGCTTTGGGGCTATAGGGTTTAGGGTTTGGGGTGTTTTGGGGTTCAGGGTGTGGGGCTCAGGAGATTGGCTTCTGGTGCTTAATTTCCGATGAAGTCATGATCACGAATGAACATAGCAAACCTCGGCATTCACAACGTATCATGTTCGCCGAGTTCGCTGTGACCGCTGCTACGGAGGCGGTCTTAGTATTATGCTACGACGAAGAGTCATGCTTCTCTCGTGTTATTGCTGTTGCTCCGATTCCCGACACCAGCCCGTGGTTGCCGGAACGTGTCAGCCACCCTAAACTCAATAAACCCTACCACCTGAGCCTAAACCCTAAACCCTAAACCCTACACCCTAAACCTGAAATGAGCAGCTTCTTGGTCATACACGCCCTCGCGAGTACTCAGCCTTTGGGCCCCTTTTTTTTGACGAGCTCTCGCCTTTTGTGGGTTTCTGCGTGGGTTCTCGGCTCTGGGCCCTTCGTTGTTCAAACCTTGAAACCCTTTGCCCCCCAAAACCTGCTCCAGGAAGCAGCGGAGCTAAGACTCCAGGTTGCAGGCGTTTAGGGCTCGCAGAACCTAGTTTGCGCGTTACGGGTTGACGAGGGCTGCACTGGGGTTCAACGTTTTAGTTCAAGCCCCTACAATAGCAGTTATGAAGAAAAGTCTCTCTACAAAGCCATGGGAAAATTTTAAAGGTCACCCCTAAACCAGACCTGAACCCTAACTTTTCGACTGTGACTTCATCTGAGGGCCTACGCCGACTTCGCCACGGAAGCCGAAGCCTATCTCGAATTCGTTGGGTAGACTTAGTCTAGGGAAACAAGGTTTAGGGAGTCCAGAACCTAGGGTTGACCAACAGGCAGGCAGGAACTTCCTACTACTGGACTCAAGTCTAGCCAGACTACCTACTTCCCCAAACCCTATAAACCCTAAAGTCTGAGTCCTTTTTACGCTGCCCCCTTACTCCCTGCAACATCTCCTGACCCTAACCTCAGCCCCCTGATGAACCCTGAATCCCCCTCAACCCTCAACTCCAAACCCTAAACCCTAAAAACCCTAAAAACCCTGAAAACCCTAAAAACCCTAAAAACCCTAAAAACCCTAAACCCTAAACCCCCCCCAAAGCCCGACGCCCTAAGCACAAAAAAAGGCCTGAACTTCATCGCCTTGGCTCGCTGGGCGCGAAGCTTCCCGCTGATAATGACCTCGACGCCCTTCGCGCCGTTCTCCATGATGAACCTGTTAGGGTTTAGGGGTTTAGGGTTTAGGGGCTTAGGGGTTTAAGGTTTAGGGTTTAGGGGTTTAAGGCTCTGCGTGGCCATAGCTTGATGCAGAAACCCTCTGGCCTCAAGACTCCGTAGCATGCGCGCCGGACTGCGAGGCCGCCAATGAGCTTGAAGCCTTCTTTCTTGGGGTTTCAAGTGCTGCTCATGCATGGTTGCACGTTTGTTTGTAGGCACAGGTACAGAGTCAGAGGAGTATATAAACATACATACACACACATACATATATATATATATAACATATATATATGTCCACCGAGCCGGTGGGTAGATATGTATCAACACAGCATATACATAACCCACACAGACACAAATATGTGGGCATATCTACATAGAAGGAGAGAGAGAGAGAGAGAGAGAGAGAGAGAGAGAGGGATACAGAGAGAAGGGAGAGAATGAGGGGCGCCTGCTTCCGAGCCAAGACCCGGCAAACACCTGAAAATCACTTGCCGGCTATGGATATTAAACTGAAAATCAGGAAACCTTTTCTTTTGAGTACATGGTTTGGGTGTGTGCCGGCAGGCCGGCATCTTAAGGGGGGGAAAGCTCCAGACCCTAAACCCCGACAACGCGCCAGTCTTCAGTGCTTCGTGCACCATGTCGCCTCATGCTTCGCTTGCTAGCAACCCCTTGTCCTGCTTTGGGATTTAAGGGTTTAGAGTCTAGGACTAGGAGTTAGGGCTTAGGGTTCAGGGTTCACTTACAAATCAACACAAACAAACAAACAAACAAACAAACAAACACACAAACACACAAACAAACAAACAAACAAACACACACACACACACACCACACACACTCACACAAAACACACACACACACACACAATAAGGATCAAAAGTCATAAGCCAGGGTGCGAAGAGATTCGCACTGTGCCATGGCACAGCTTGCGCGGTTCCTCGGCGCAGTTGACGATTTGGTGCTTTAAGGGTTATATACCCTATCCCGATTGGATCATATCCTACCTCTTCTGTAGGGTTTGGGGTTCCAGGTTGGGTGTACGGCGTTAGTACCCTAAACTCTAAACCCTAAACTAAACACTTAACCCTTAACCCTATACCCTTAACCCTAAACCCTAAACTAAACCTCCCAACCCTAGGCCCCTTGTTTTGGGTCTAGGGTTTAGGAGTTAGGGTTTAGGGATTAGGGTTCAGGGGTTTTAAGGGAAAAAGGGGTTATAGGGTTTAGGGCTTGCAAAAACCTTTTTGCCTGTATCAGGCGTTATTTACGGATCCCTCTACTGGGTCCCTGAACCCGAAGTTCTAAATGCCCTATGTGGTCAGGTCACTCCACTCGCTCCGCGAAGAGCTCGACGCTGTTCTCTGGGAAGCCGAAGCGCTTTTGAACCTCGAGGGCTTTCTCGCTTTTTCGGGTGTCCGGGCCCTACCTTTCCCATAGGCCCCTAAGTAGTCCCTTTTTGTGGTTCATGTTTAGAATCCTGGCAGGTACTCCCAAAAAGGAACTAGTTAGGGGGCTATGGCTAACAACCAGAAGCTTAACTTTTTAGGATTCCTTGATTGTCGTTCGTTCCTTATTTATGTCTACAAAAGGTCCCTTTCGGTGGGCTTCGGGTTCAGGGGCAACGCAAGAACCTCCCAATCCCAAATCAAGGTTCAGGGTTTTTAGTATTTAGGGTTTAGGGTTCGGGGATTGGGGTTTGGGGATCAAGTAAGGCTTTTCGTGTTCTCTCCATTTTCGCGGCCTTGTTCTGTCTGCAGACCATTGCTAGCGCTGCAGGAGCTGGCGGTAAATTCAACCGGCGGGACATGTGCATAAGTGAAGGAGCCCGCCTCCAGAGGACTTGTTCGATGCTTCATCCCTCAAATCTCGGAACACGGAGCCCAAAAACTGAAAACTCAGCACCTCGAAACCCACCAAAACTGAAGAAAGTAGGACCTAAACCAATAAAGACCCTGGCAGCCCGCACAGCCCGAATCCTGAACCCCGACATCCCTCAGCCCAAGGCCCAGCACCCTCCAGGGCTTTACAGAACCCATACTTGGAGGTTCATGGGTAGTTATAAATAGGGTTGTAATAGTCCTCTCATATGGGTTTATAATACGGTCATAAACACAAATACCCTACTTATAACCCCACTCATATCTACCCATGAACCTCCAAGTGCCGACAGCCCCTTACCAAACCCTACAGCTACACCCTAAAACTCTACAATCCCAAAAGGCCTAAACCTTACCTGGACCCCGCAACTATGTAGAAGAATAGCCTTTTATGGGTTTTGGGGGTTTAGGTAAGCTCTTTTGGTCTAAAACAACCCAAAACCCTGAACCTTAAAACACGCAAAAACACTCAGCTCCAAAATCCCAAAAAATCCAAAAACCGCCCAGACCCTAAACCCTAAACCCCAAAAATCCCAACACCGCCCGGGGCCACCAGGGCCGTGAGCTCCCGAATGCGTCGACCCTTCTCGCCCAGAACCTCCCGGGTCCTGACGGTTTTGTGGTTTAGGGCTTAGGGTTTTGGGGTTTAGGGTTTAGGGGTTTAGGGGTGTGGGTTTTGGGGTTTGGGGTTTAGGGTTTTGTTTTTTTTTTTTGGGGGGGGGTTTATAGGGTTCATAGACTCTGCCAATTTAGGACGTTTTGTGTTTACGCTGTCACAACTCGGACAAGCCAGGCGAGGTTCCATAGGTGCAGGTCGGCGTGACACAGGGTCAGGGTTCAGGGTTCAGGGTTTAGGGTTTAGGGTTTGATTCCCTGACCTTTGGCTTTTTCCCCTCTCGCATGGCTGAGAAGGATGCCCACAAGCGAGGTGGTATGAGGTTACACAAGGGCACGGCTTGCAATGCACCTTTGGGTTTAGGGTGTAGGGCTTCTAGTGTTGAATACAATGCCACCTTCTTTTGACCCCTAACCGTATAAACCCTAAGGCCCTAAAAAGGGTTTGTAGGGTTCAGGGCTTACTTAACTTAGGGTAACTATGCTAGCTTCTTTTGCCCTAGGGGGAAAAGGGGCTTGGGGATGCTTAGCGTGTAGAGTTTGGGGCGACTGTGCCAGCTTGGGGCGGTTCGCCATCACAGGTCGAAGAAGCCAGATTTAAAAAAAAAGTTTTGGGTTTAGGAGTTTGGGGTTTTAAGTTTAGGGGGGCTGTTTTTCAAGGTGCTATAGAACTCTAGGAGCTCAAGGCTAATAAGATCCAGGCTTACGATCCGCGGGGCTAGTAGAGTTCAGGGAGTTTGGAAGCACGCGTTCACTGAACTTCAGGCGTTAGGACTCCGGGGTGTAAGACGTGTATGTAGGACGTCATCATTACGAGCAGTAGGGTTTTGGGGTACAGTGCAGTACACTAAAGTTATAATAAGGAACCCTAGGGGCTTATATTTCTGACTAGGTAGGCCCCCATATTACGGCCTACTGCTTTGACTGTTTGGCATTCGGGAGTGGTTGGCCTCGAGCCTACACCCGAAGCCTGCGACGGAAGCTTCAAGCCAGTCCTGGTGGCACGGATGATGATCTCCGTGCGGATCGGCGTCACACGGACCTGCGCTTCAGAGGGGTGGTAGAGCCCGGTGAACTCCACAAGCGGCTCTACCACGAGACCTAAACCCCCAACTTGGAAACTCTGAGAGAGTTCCTTCGGCCAAAAGTTGAAGCCAAGACACGGAACCCGGGATTTAAGCCAAGTCCTGTAGGATTAAAGCTCATAATCGGAGCTCGGGTTCGAGAAACCCATGAGCACATTATGCGGTTAGTCTAAGGGTACTACAAGGATACGATGGGATACTATCAAGTTACTATCTGGCTGTAGAGGAAGAAAAGAGCAAGCGGCGATCGTCATCCTCAACCCTTCACAAAAACCGGGCGCTGCCAGCCCGAAGGAGACGGCACAAGGAGATTGTAGCATGACATTGACATTGGAGGCGGACATGTCTCACTGGTGGACCTAGCGATGGGTTCTGGCACACCCACACTTGCTTTTCGAGAATCCACGAACCTAAAAAATGACGAAGGATTGGATTCTCTAAACCCTGCTTGAGGAGCTTGCATTCAGTTGATGGGTGTATTTACAATGCGGTGTGCATTGCCACTTTGGGTACGTGACATGGGCTGTCTAGGGCTTGTAGAGTTTAGGGGTCTAGGGTTCCGAGCTTTATTTATCTGTGTAGGATCTGTGTTATACAGCCTAGTGCTCCGGTTTAGGGCCTGTGCCAGAGCTCCAAACGTCAGACCCTCGCCGGAGATCCACCACCCAGCCACTCCTATCCAGCGTTGGCTGAGGATCCCTTAAAATCTAAAGGAATAATACCTTCCCCTAACCCCGAAACCCCTAGCCCCCTTAACCCCCTGAAATCTAAAGGAATAAAACATTCCCCTAACCCCAAACCCCTAAACCCTAAACCGCAAGGTTTTGCGAGTCTCCGGGAATCCTTCCATGAACTGCCGCCCACCTCCACGCCAGCATAGCCATCCTCGCCTGGGTTGGAAAAAGCGGTAGTGCCAGGTTGAGCTGGGGGTTAAGTAACATAAGGGCTTAGGGCTTAGGGTTTAGGGTTTAGGGCTTCAATATAAGCATTAAGACAGGGGTTTTGGGTGTATGATCGTAGAAATAAATTACCTGCTTCGAGACTGTGCTTAAGGTGATCCTCCTAGTCATTATTCCGGCCCTTCTTAGAATGGCGTCGGACTGAACTATGCAGATCTGGATCTACCCTAAACCCTAACCCTCAACCCCAAAGAAACCCTAAACCCTACATCGGGGGGGGTAACTTCAGCGTCCGTTAGAAACTTAAGCCTTGGGATACGTTCGAAAAGGAAGGCTTCGGGCTGCGGGCTGAGAAAGCCTACCCGTGGAAGAAGACAAAGAGACGTATGGTTCAAGGTTTTGGGTTTCGGGCTTTGGGATTTAGGGTTTGGGGGTTTCGGATTTAGGGGTTGGGGTTTAGGGTTTAGGGTCTAGCGGTTTTAGGGGAGGCCCGTGACGCCTTGCTATTATACTGCTGACGAGCCCACAACCCTGTGCCTAAGATGCAGGCCAGACTTGCTGCACGATCTGGGATGACCTTTCTTCAGTGCCCACTGGAGCAGCCTGATAAACTAGCTGTAACTAGCTAAGTGCTGGAAACTGTGTGCTTTTTCTCGCTCCGTGCTACCACTTTATGATTGCAGCGTCATATCACAATGCGCCCTAGTCTAAGCATTCAGGCGCGTATATCACACCCCCGAACGGCTGAAGCCTTGCTGATGTCGAGTGACCGAGGGTTCGTGCCAGGAACTCGTTCAGCTCGGCATTGAAAACACCGTCAGCCACGAACTTCCTCTTCTTCGACACCTTCATCGATAGGATACTGTAGTCGTTTACCGGACTCTTGCAGCTTCTGAGAAAAATTCGTAAGGTTTTGGCGAAGGGTTGGGACAATGAACTTGGTTGACGGCTATGAGCACCAACACCAGCATCACCAGTAACAACTGCATCATGGTCTCCATCCTCCTCAGTCTCCCCCTCCTCCTCCTCATTATCGTATTTGTCCTCGCGCCGCTATGCATTCAGCATCATCAGAGAAGGGGACAAGAACGGGACGCAATCACTGCCATAAGAGCAGCAACCAACATGGCTCAAGATTCACCGGGCCTGCGCGCTGCTCATGATGGCGATACGATGGAATCGGAACGGCAGCGGGGCAAAACTGCTGCGGACTCTTTGAGCCTCACGTGACGGGGAAACTCGAGCTTGAAGACTGAAGTCGGGGCTGCAGATTGGAAGGCAGCAGCTTGGTCTTTAAGTGCCGGAAGCCACCATGCCAAGAAGTTTGACCTACTAAGCCCTTGATTGCGCTGCTAGCACCATCCGGATCATACGAGTATGCACACGTATAAACAAGGGGCACAAGACTGTACGTAAAAAGATAGATTGACCATTACACATACACGCGTGTACGCACATACACATCATTGCAAACACCTGACACAAATATGTGCATACGTATCCCCGCATGTACGCAGGGGCTAGACAAGCGTGGCCGGACCGCTTTTGGGCATCCCTAAGTTCAGCCTGTCCGCCGTTCGGGCGTCGGATCCAAGATCAAAACGCTCTGGACATAAACCCAAATCAGACGTTCGTGTTCTAGATTCTAGAGTCGGAGCCAGAGGTGACGACCCTACACTCTACACTTAAGCGGACTTTAGCGCTTCTGCCAGGTGTGGGCAGCAAAGAGTAGCACAAACTTCTCGCGGGGAAAAAATGCTCTTTAACAAGCGATCAGCACAAGGACACCAAACACACACACACACACACTCTCTCTCTCTCACTCACACTCACACAAAAACACACGCACGCGCGCAATCAAACCGTGCTACTGTCTTCCCAATGCGGCCAAGCTTGGAATCACGGACGGCCTAGCCGAAAGCAGGCTTCCACCAACTCACAAGTGTGACGATCATGTAAGTGAGATCCCAACCCTGTTTTAAGTAAGGCCTGCCGTGCACATGCCCAGGCCCGAAACCCGATTCCCCAGTCCAACAATTAACCAGGCTATCCATCGCGGTGGGTGTCGTTAGCCCCGGGGGCTTGCTCTGCGAAGCATTCAAGGCGAGCCGTTTTTGAAACCAATGTCGCCGCAGAACCACCGCCGGAAGCTATGGCAGCTAGTTCCGCGTAACAGATCGTCTGGGTTTTGGCTAAGGGCCTCAATTCAAGGAGGTCATACCATGTACTATACGTCTCTATTCGGGTGATTCAGGCTATAACTTCCAAAGCAAGAATCCAGTAAGCCCAAACCCTAAACCCTAAGCCCTAAACCCAAACCCTCTTATAAAACCCTATAAACCCCAAATACCGCAAACCCTAAACCCTAATTAAACCTCAAATACCCCAAACCCCAAATACCCCTAACTCTAAGTCTTCTCTTCTTGGCGTCCATAGCCGGCTCAGAAAGTCAAAGAGACCTGAGAGCGGCACGGGCCGCTGCGTCGACGGGGCTTAGGCCCTAGGTGTTAGGGATTGGCCGGATTCGTGTATGCATGTATGTATGTATGCATGTACGTATGTACATATGTACATATATATATATGTTCATACATACATGCATATGTACTTGTATATGTGCAAGGAATGCATGCGTGCATGGATGCAGGCAGGTCACACGATTCAGGCTTTGGGGCCAAGCTTAGGGGCTTAGAAGCGCTCGGGTAGCCACAGGTGGCCAAGTCTCTCATGCTCTTCTAGAACAGCCAAGATGGTGTTTCATGGCGACTGTCTCAGGCCTCCACCATCTTGGAGGTTGTATGGTGCTATGTAGACTATACGACTTAAGGCACATCTAGGCCAGACCCCCTCAAAGTGCGGCTTATCTTTTCTGCACGGTTTGGGGCTTGCGGCTGGACTAGGCGAACAGACACAAATGGCACGGCGGGTTCGGTGGGAGAGCCCACCCCCCTAGCCTCTACCAAACCTCGAACTCAAGCCATCTGATTGAAGGTTCATGGGTAGTCATAATAAAAAGTTCTCTGATATGGGTTATAATTATAGCTACTTTACTTATAACCGCACATAAATTGTAAGTGCGGGTAGAAGTAAAGTAACTACAATTATAACCCATATTAGGGGACTTATAGCTCCACTTATAACTACCCACGAACCTCCAAGTAACCTTACCGTTTTTGAGGGGAGGAAGGTTTATATATATATAGATTTCAGTTAGCGTTTGTGCTCAGTTTGCAGGCTTAAGCCTTTCAGATGTCCGGGGTTCATTCAGAGTTCAGGCTTTAGGCAACTCTGTGCGAACCTCTTTCACGCTGTACCTGCGCTGCTCGGGACATGTCTGGCTCTTTCGAGCGTCTTGGCTCCCATGTTTGTTTGCATGGGGTGAAAGAACCGGCCACGAGGCCGCACATATCGGCTCTCTGAAGCCTTCCTCGGCCAGGAGGCTCGGCCATCGTCCTCCTTTGGGTCGCCAACATGGGCCATAATTGAGAATCTAGGCCACAAGCTCAACCGAATGGCTCTAAATCGTAAACCCCAAAACGCTATACCCTAAACCCTATAAACCCTAAATAGACTACGAGCCCCAGGAACGATGGTCTTCTGAGCAGTCCCATGCCCTTTGCGCTGCCGCTCTCCAGCTTTTGGGTCAGGGGCGGGGGTTCAGGGGTCTTTAAAGCTCCCATAGGGGTAGGCTTAGAAGGATTACAGGGATTAGAGGGTGTGGGTCACTGCTTGGTGGGCCCTGACTGACAGTGGTTTAGGGGCTGCCTCTGCGTGTTAACAAGAGCGGATTGTCTCGGCATGTGAACTAAATTAGGGAAGGTATGTCGGCAACTTCGGCGTTCCGTTTGGGGTGGTGCCGCTGGCAAGCAAAACTGCTAGAGCACGACCGCAAGCTTGGACGGAACCCTTTAAACCTCTGCCGGGTCCGAGAAAAATTCTGCTAAAGCGAGCACATCCCCTACCGACCTCGTCGGAGCTTTTGCATTTCAGGGTTTAGGGTTTAGTGTTTAGGGGTTGAGGATTTAGGATTTAGGGTTTTTCCGCACCGACTCTTCGATCACTTACGACAGAACACTTCTCTACCTGACAAGTGGTACCCAAAAGATCCAATGCGAGCCCCAGTCTCCCCTAGTAATAGTAGCCTTGGAAGGGCTTAGGTAAAAAGGCTTCAAGCTTATAGGGTTTAGGGTTTAGGGGGCTGGGGGAAGGGGAGATAGGGTTTACGAAGTTTAGGGGTTTAGATGTACACTGGTTAACCTTTAGAGCTACAGATGATGCTCTCTGCACACTCAAAGCTCCGGCCGGCTACACAATCAGGTCCGTGCAATCACGCAGGGCTGCCATCCGTGGATGGTTTAAGGCTGAGGGTTGTAGGGGTGTAAGTAGGGTTTTTATGGATGAAAGGCATGTGGAGTGGGAGCACCACCATGTTCACAACTAGTACCAGGCTGCGGAAGCCTTGCATGCAGGACGGACTTATCCGGCGCCCAAAAGGCACAAGCCGCGAAAAGCCACAACCCTCTAAACCCTAAAACTGTGAGCGACGCTCTTCAGATCATGATCCGAGGCGCCAGGAAGGCGTGAGGTGCCTTGCTTGGAGGTTCAGGGGTAGTTATAAATGGGGTTATTATAAGTACGGCGACTACACATTTACAACCCATACTAACCAGGGGATTTATAAGAAAGAACCTATAGCTGTGCATGAACTGCCAAGTCGCAGCACGGAAATGACACTTGGAATGTGGGAGGAAAGCACCCAAGTTCAACGCTGACCCTCTTGTGAACACCCTAAACCCTAAACCTTAAACCGTACCATTCCCTCTATCGTGCGCCTAAACCCCACACCTCTCTGATACGTGGGATCCTAACCCCTTAACAGCGGTGCTAAACCATGGATTCACAGCCGCGCAAAGTTGAATGGAAATCAAAACTTAAACCGTGAACATCGTTCCGACAGCCCCACAAAGGATGACAACCATGCAGAAGCCGAAGCCCTCATCTCCAAGTTGTGCAGCGTGAGTTACACATCTACAGATATTCTCCATTGTTTTTTTTGGGGGGGTTACTTTATTGGATCCTAAATATAAAAGTAGTTAAACCAAAACAGGAACTGCAATAAATTTAGGGCTGCGGTTGTTTAAGCTTTCTGAGGGACTGGCCCCTGAAAAAGCTGGGACCATGCATACAGACCTGGAAGAGTAGGATCTTGAAGCACGCCTAAATAAGCATCTCCTCTCCTACTACAGCACCCTGTTTGCATCCAGGCCCGGGTAATGCTTGGTACCACGTCTACAACCCAAAGCCGGGTGGCGATGACCAAGTCCGATGCGCCGTGGACCATTGGCCCGTCGTGTCGCAAGGCGAAGCTGCCGAACTGCATGTTGTTCAGCACCTCTGAAGGGCTCTCAAACCCAGAGAGCCCAATACCCCTTAATTAAGGAATACACCTTAAACCATAGTATTAAGGCCCCTATAATTTAAGGTATATTCCTTAAAAAAGGGGTATTGGGCTCTCAAAGCTCGGACGCTGGGAGGGTTTAGGGCTTAGGGGCTTATGTTCACAGGTGTAGGTCTTAGGGTTTTCGGGCGTGGGGCTGTCGTAAAGCTCAGGGGCTCGGCTAAGCTTTCAGACGTTTCAGCAGTCGGGCTTAGGTTTTCAGTATGAAGGGTAGAAGATGGTGGCCGGTTGGCAGGGAAGTCAGAACCGAGCGACACCCGACACCCTAAACCGTAAAAGCTCAAGGAAGGTGCCCACTAAAGAGTCATCAGGGTGTAGGGTTTAGGGTTTACATTGAGTTTGTGAGACGGCGTTTCTGGCAGGGCTGGCGCCGCGAACTCCGATACCGAAGCCA